GTATAATACAGTAACGAAGTGTATAGACCCCTTCGAGTGCAACGTCACACACATATGCGCACGCGTCTTGGGGTCAGAAAAACACCTACTCACATAGACTTCCACTAACGAAGTCCAAACAAAAAGTCTAAAATGCCGACCTGTAGCGCTGTTGGATGTGAAAATAGGACCAGCAGTGGCGTTGACCAGATTAGGACATTGTCCACTGGTTTAAGAATAAATAAATAAACTTACCCCGCCATGCAGGTGCAGTTAGCCGTGTGAATGTAGCACTTCTTCTTGTTGTAGATCACCCATGCCTTGGCTTGTACAACGATCTAGGTTTATCTATAGGTAAGAGTGGATAGCTGGCCACTGGATATCTGCCATACTGTCATCTACCCAATCTTTAATGGAAGCTGGGTCCGGCAAACTATCGCCGTCAGCCAATACCAATTTGTTGAGATATTGTTCCCGGTCCTTAATCGGCAACGAGAGAGCATATTCGGAAATATTCTGAGGAGAATCGTTGACAGCCATGTACTTCACTTTGTTTTCTGACCCCATTAGTCGCGAAAAGACGTGTGCGCACTCTCTTGGCTTGGAATGTTTACAAACAATGAAAGGGTCTATTGGCGGAGTAATCTAGTTGAGCATGGGGCGGATAAGTTGACGACCATATTGAGAGTGAGGAGTCACGTGCCGATTTGGTCTGATCTGGGCGGGGTTTGAGCCGGTCGGCCATGATGGAAGGAGACGCTATCGGTTGCCAGGGGCAACGTCATCAGAACATCACAGAGACGTGACTAAATTCTAGCACTTTTTGCGCCAAAAATACAAGAAAGAATGAGGAGAAAGTAAAGCAATGGAGAAAAATAATGTGAAAGAAAAGGGACCTTACAGGAACAAGCTCACACAGGGCGCTAAACAGCGGTATTTGGAGAAGCTGTCAGACATCCAAAACATCGACCCATACGAGCTCCCTGCAGCGCAATGGCACAGAGACCTTAACAATTTACCTCCATGCACATACATGGACATCGTCAATTACCTTGTTTTTGGAGTTAGTCATTACACAATGCAGGAGTTTAAAAGCCACAAGTCATTAGAAAGTTATGAGACTTTCTGCTGTGGATGGGTGCAGGACTTGGCCATCCACAAGCCTCCAGGTGGTGAAAACAGCGTTGTACTTGCAAAGGTAAATGTATTCACTTACGTTTTTGTGTGTTGTTATTACATTGCATTTAGCAGATACTTCTGGACCAAAATGACAAAGTAATTAACTGCTACTGTTTCGTACTGTTCAATGTAGCCTACACAAACGTTTCCAACATGTTTTGGTGTAGGCTAAAGCTGTGTATGTTTAGGTATTTAGTTGTAATTTGATTTTAGCCCAATGACACATACAGTACAATGCCGTATTGCAGCCAACCAAGCAATCCGTCGTCTCCTCGTCAGGTCAGACACTGGCTCTCCTCGATGCTTTATCCATTTGGGTATCCTGAAAAACTGTAACCCGTTGTTGCTAAGTTTTCCATCACAATCATGTGAGGTACTGGAGCAGTTTTTAACACAGCAGTGATTTCCAGGCATTGTAAAAAGGTAAATTACGGAGTAGAGCAGTTGTTTTGCCCATAGACTACTAAGGCTTTTGCCGCCGGTATCCTTCCATCATGGCGGAGAGGGGGTGGGGCTCTGAGCCGTGACGACAACTTCTCACTCTCAATAGGACTCTATTAGCGCGGGCTGAAATCCCTATTGCAGCCTGCAGGGTTACGTGATGAACATACGGAGGAGCGCGACCGTTGAGTTGAACCGCCCCAACATTGAAAGATTACGCTCAAGTAGAATTGCCACCATCCAAAACTTGATGTCAACGTACCAAAAATAGTGTAAAGGTCTACAGAAACTATAGATAGTTAATGTGATGCAAATATTATTAGAAATAGATTCATGGAGCTGGAGCAAGGATTTTTGGAGGAACTATTTTTTTGGGAGCCTGCTATTGCAAGTAGGTGGTTCGTCGCCCCACCTGCCCACATGAGCCGCACGCTACTGCTGTTGGGATAGATCCTACCAAATGTAACATTATTAAATAATATATCAAAGTACAGTTTAATGGCCTGATTCAAGACACCCCATGTCTATCTTATTCCCAAGTAATTCTAATGCCGTTAATGCCGAAACTATCTAATGCCGCACTTTGGCCCAACTCCAGAGAGGGTCCATCTCGGGCACGTTATTACACAACTTGGTGCATTTAAACTGGTAATGGAAATGCGGGAGCCAACCGTAGACCAGTCGCCCCCCGGTGGCCCTGGCGTGCATCTGCATACATCTTGGTCTCAGATTGTGGGGATTGTTATCAGTTTATGTTAAAGGGTTTTTAGTAAAGTTATGATATTGTGTTTGTCGTGTTAAGTTCTATGTTTATGTGACACAGACCATTGTAACCTGACTGACTGACAGACTATGTAGAACCGTTTGTTTGGGAAGGCCATCCGTGTTGTTGAGTGAGATCGGTGCTGAAAAATAAAAGTCCCTCCTGATGATCGTGCAGTGTATGGGATGCATGTTTGACACTAAAATAACACCTTGTCTCTTGGGGTCAATTCGTTTCATGGCATTGTGACTCTATACCACTATATCTATATCTATAAGCTATATATATCGAAAGTAGTACTGTAATTCTTCTACACATACGAGGCATCAATGCTTGTGTTACAAGACTGTTTATTTGATAGTAAAATATGCTTTGTATATATACGATCATGTCTGTTATTGTTTGAAAGACTTGAGCATGTGTGTTGTCTCTGGATAGGTTAAGCTGATGGAATAGAAATCCATTGGGGTCCCGTGCGTGTTGGAAATGCTGCTATTAGCAGGCATAAGGGCAAACATTTGTGTTACCCTGTTGACAATTGATAACGTTTGGTCCCTTGTGTTGTTAAGCAAAGCTTGAGGTATTCTTTACAGAGATGTGCAATTAGTGGTAGAGCACATGCTTACAAACTCACATAATAATATGCTGATTATGAGGAGCCCAATGCTGCTCTGCAAGTATTTGTTGCAGAGATGTAAAGCAACAGTAAGCAAGTGCAGCAGGAAAAGGGGGTGTAGCTCAGTGGTAGAGCACATGCTTTGCCCCGGGTTCAATTTCCGGCATCTCCAAGACATGAACCTAGAAAAGAAATCCATTGGGGTCTCCCTGTGTTTGTACAATTCTACTGTTAGCAGGACAGCTAATGAAAGAGTGCCTACTTTGCATCTATGAGGCCCTGTGTTTGATCTCTGAAATGTGATCAAATGTCTTTGTTCTCTATATAGAGAATGGTCTTACCCCAAGTAGAACTTACCATTTTACTATTGTTTGAACAACTGATCTCTACTACAATTTTAGGCGATAGACTACAAATCCATTGGGGTCGCCCAGCACAGGTTCAAAATGCTTCTATGAGCACTATTACCTTCTATTGTGTGCATCATTTGTGTTACCCTATTGATAGTCGATAACATTTGTTGTTAAGCAAAGCTTGAGGTATTCTTTGCAGAGATGTGCAATTAAAGTAAGAGAAGGCGGTGTAGCTCAGTGGTAGAGCACAGGCTTACAAACTCACAAAGTTATCTGCTGATTATGAGGAGCCAATGCTACTCTGCAAGTATTTGTTGCAGAGATGTACACCAACAGTAAGCACCTGAAGTTGGAAAAGGGGATGTAGCTCAGTGGTAGAGCGCATGCTTCGCATGTATGAGGCCCCGGGTTCAATCCCCGGCATCTCCAAGACATGAAACTCGACTAAAAACCCATTGTGGTCGTCTGCGCAGGTTCAAATCCAGCTGACAACTGTCGTACATTTCTACTGTTGGCAAGCCGAACAATGAAATAGCGCATGCTTTGCCTCTATGAGGCCGTGGGTTCCATCCCTGGCATCTCCAAGAGGTGATTAAGTTACTGTGTCCTCCAGAGACCACAGTTTTATCCAAAGAAGCCCAAAGGAAACCTTGCACTATTTTATTGTTTGAACGACTGACAGACTGATTTAAGTTGAAGGAGGCGTGTTGTTGTGGCCGAGTGGTCAAGGAGATGGACTAGAAATACAATTCCACTATTAGCAGGCCAGAGAAATCAGTGCAGCAGTTATTGCACCCTCTTAACAGTCGTTAACAATACCTCTGTTGTATCATTAAGCAAAGCTTCAGGTATAGATTTAAGGGAAAGGCATGTAGCTCAGTGGAAGAGCACATTCTTTGCAGCTTTGAGGCCCTTTGTTCAATCTCTGAAATGTGATCAAATGTCTTTGATGTATAGAGATGATTTTATCCCAAAGTGTTGCCCCAACGAGAACCCAGCACAATATTATTGTTTGAACAACTGATCTCTACCACTATTTTAGGCGATACACTACAAATCCATTGGGGTCTCCCCGCACAGGTTCGAAATGCTACTATTAGCACACACGCCCATTACGTGCAACATTTGTGTTAGCCTAGTGGCAGTCGACAACATTTGTTCTGTCGTATCGCTAAGCAAAGCTTCAGGTATTGTTTGCAGAGATGTGCAATTACCGTAAGAGATGGGGATGTAGCTCAGTGGTAGAGCGCATGCTTTGCATGTATGAGGCCCTGGGTTCAATCCCCGGCATCTCGAAGTTGTGATCTATGTGCTCCAGTAGGGTGGTGTATATCGTCCACATGATCATGTCTGTTATTATTTGAAAGACTTGAGCATGTGTGTTGTCTCCGGATAGGTTAAGCTGATGGAGTAGAAATCCATTGGGGTGTGTGTTGGAAATGCTATTAGCAGGGCAAACATTTGTGTTACCCGATTGACAGTCGATAACGTTTGGTCCGTTGTGTTGTTAAGCAACGCTTGAGGTAATATTTGCAGAGATGTGCAATTAGTGGTAGAGCACATGCTTACAAACTGACATAGTAATCTGCTGATTATGAGGAGCCAATGCTGCTCTGCAAGTATTTGTTGCAGATATGTGCACCAACAGTAAGCAGGTGAAGCAGGAAAAGGGGGTGTAGCTCAGTGGTAGAGTGCATGCTTTGCATGTATGAGGCCCCGGGTTCAATATCCAAGACATGAAACTAGACCATAAATCCATTGGGGTCTCCCCACGCAGGTTCAAATCCAGTTAAAAATGGTCGTTAGCTAATGAAAGAGTGCATACTTTGTGCATAAATAATCCAAGAAAGTGTTCTTATATATAGGCTCAATGGAAAACATTTGAGTTACTCGGCATGGAATTAGCTGGCAACATTAATATGAATGGTAATTCCTAAATATATACCTAAAATTGTTATAACAGGGAATAAGAATTTGGAATGATGTGTAGTTTTGCTATTAAATAAAGTGCTCTCAGAAATCTCAGAAGTAACCTGAATTTGGATAAGTTGATCCATTGCACACAACATATTTAAAACAGCTAAAATTAATACCTGGAGAAAGTTTTGTTCTTCTATTAGAGAGAGAGAGAGAGAGAGAGAGAGAGAGAGAGAGAGAGAGAGAGAGAGAGAGAGAGAGAGAGAGATGTGGGCCATTATGGAATATGGTTAAAAAAAGATGAGGTTAAATAATTCAATTCCAGTTCTTGCAGATGGAGATAATTTAGCAATAACAGATTAGGAAAAGTATTTGCTCACAGTGGAAATCATCTTACTGAAATACATAAACAAAGGAAATAAGAAATATTAAAAGATTAAAAGATAATGAAAAGCTGCATGTTAAAAAGGTACAAACCAGCTCAGCTCTGGATATGGAATTTACTTTGAGGGAAATGAGAAGGGCATTAGAGGGCGGCAGGCTTTCTGCTCTGGGACAAGATCAAGTATGATATGTCATGTTCAGACAATTACTAGAGAGAGCATTAGAAAGTGTTGAAACTTTTCAACAAGATATGGACAAAAGGTATCTGCTAAGTGGAAAATGGCATTCATTGTACCATTTGCTAAGGCCAGGAAACTAGACCAATATCACTAACTTCCCACTTGCGTAAATGGATGGGGAAAAAAAGATTGTTTACAGGTTAGAATATTTTGTAGACAATACATTTCTTAAATGAGAACCAGAGCGGTTTTAGAAAAGGAAGATCCACAGCAAATACTCTAATTAAAGTTTGTAATGCAAAATTGAAAAGACTTAATATGAAGGAAGTGATGGCTATGGTTTTCTTTGACATTGAGAAAGCTTATGATTCCATGTGGAGAGAATGTCTATGTGGCAGTTGCTCCCTGCCACCTTAGTGGCTTTTGCTGGGGCCCTCCGACGCAGGACACAGGTAGATGTTTGAGAACGCATTTATTGGCGATAGCGAGATGGTATTTGCCAAGCAGCTGTAACATGCTGCCATGACAGAGGCTCTCTCCTGAGTGTGTGGCTGCGTTTCATTAGTGGGTTGAGTCGCCCTCGCTCACTTGCCCTCAGCCCTTGGTAATTTGTCACACGGAGGCCACTTGGAGAGCCGAGGGGAAGTGGGCGGGGGAGGAGGAAAAGGTATAAATGGAACGCACCTGCCCTCGCCCGGTGACAGCCTTGACTATCATGGATCGGCCACACGTTGTTGGTGTAGCGCTCTATTGCCTATTGCAAATAACGCGCAATATACGGAGACTCAGATCTTTGACACGAAGACGTCTTCTGCGCTTAATAGCAATACGCCAGCACCTGGTCATTTCAGAATTATTAGTTTTGTTTTATATTTTATTCAGACAATTCATTTATTTATTTTTTTACCTTATTTGTAGAAAGTTTGGTTGTTTAAACACATTTAACCTACTTTCAGTTTAGTTGACATTAGTTTTAGATAGTTATTTCTGATAGTTATTAGGCCTGTTACCACCATCCTCATCCTCATCATTGTCTTTAAATGGCCTTTATTGTTCAAGATTGTGGTTCAGAAAACTATACAAACAACACTTAAAGTCATGTAGGATAGATGTTACAGGGAACAGTGTTAGGGGAGCGATAGCTGCTGGACCCAAGAGCAGAAAACAGAGGCAGTACAGGAGTGGAGTGAAGATGAACAGGTTTATTGGATGTAACAGGAGTGAGGCAGGGGGCAGGTTGGAGAGTGGGGGTGCATCGGCTGGAGGGAGTGAGGCGGGCAGGCTGGAGGTGTAGGTCCACAAACTATAAACAAAGAGAAAAAAACAGTGAGGCATGAAACATCAGCAAGAGAACTACTAGAGAGTGTATACACTGGAGCCAGGTACGAATAACTACCACGGTGTCTAGTAGTCCGATCTGGCGACGTCCGCAGGGAAACCAGGTGTATTTGAAGGGGAGTTGATGAGCTGACGCGGACCAGGTGTGAGTAGTTGACAAACAGGGGGTGTGGCCGAAAACAGGGGGAGAACACACAGCACCACAACTGTGGCCATGACAGAACAGTAGTCTATAAGGATTTATAGTGGTTGCTTCAATTTCAAATGAGAAAAAAAGCATGTAGTTGTTTGTGCATTCTTTATGCATTCGTATGTGATGCTCACAGTTTTGTCTTAATCTTTTTTATATGAGTGAATTTGTTTTGCCAATTGTGCTGTTTCTATACACATCTATGCTAATTGCCTTGTATTTCTTTTTTAGGTTTTCCCATTTTTTGGCCGCCTGTGTTCCTGTCAGCCTTCCCTGCAGACCCATCCTCTGTACAATTGTTCTGTTTGACAATAAAATAATTGTTATGCACACCAAATACATTAAACACATTATATAGTCTCCCGCAAATAAAATTAGCACCACAACAAAGAAGCAAGTCTCTAGAATCAGAAGTAGAAAGCTGAGCTGCCAACTCTCACGGATTGAGCGCGAGTCACCAGTGGCGGAGCTAGACTTTTTTACTTGGGGGGGCCAGGGGGGGGCCAAAGCTATTTCAGGGGGGCCAGTATATAACAATGAATTTTCAACGGAACACAATCAATTGCGATCAAAATCTTTTCATATAATAAACACACAAGGAGATAAGATTGCTGGGGTCTGGGCTGAGGTCTGTTTTTTCCTGATCTTTGCCTGACTTGCTCCTCTTTCCAAAGTAGTCATATATCCCCCCCTGTCTTTTCATTCTGAACTCACCCTGCGCAAAATGTGCAAAAAGTAACGTTACAAGAGTCTTTTTACTTCAGATAACTTACAATGAGACCATTGTTGTTAACTCTTTCCCCCATAAACGCTTACTAGGCGCAAGCCAATGTCGCATTTAAGGGGGAAAGAGACACTGGCATACACTTTAGCCATTTTCAGACAGGTTTTCCATACATTTTGCGATAATTGCTTGCCGCATTTCTGATGGTAACAGACATTCAGACATGAATGCTCAGCTCACGTTAGGCTACATTTCTTTAAAGCCAACAGACAGTGCATTAATCAACATAGAGTTGCGCTAAGCTAAGGCTAAAATCTGCAAGTTGATAACGTTGTCTGTTAACGTCGTGGATGAGCGTGTTGGAAGCTGATACTAGGCGCTGAGCTAGGCGATGAGCTGTAATGTTAAAGTTAAGTTATCTGATACCCTCGTGTGTACTGGCAACTGGCAACGAGAAACTACAAAAAACGTTCTCCTATTTGAAAATGAAACAAAACTTACCTTAGTAAGGAATATCCATCAAGGAATAAACTGCAGTGCTGTTCTTCGTCTATGTTCTCCGATACTGTGTGAGATCGTTGAACGACCGTTAGACCATCTTCTTCTCCTTTTTTGAAATAGTTAGCAGCAGTAGTGGCTGAATTATATTTTTTGCTGAGAGCGCCAACTACTGCACAGGAAGAACATAGCAGTGAAGAGATTTTACCGATTACAGAATTCAGCAAGCTCTTCTCAACAAGACGTGCGGTCAGAGTGCGGTGCCGCGACAGGGGGGGCACCTGGGGGGGCCAATGAGATTTTGGGGGGGGGCAAATGCCCCCCCGGCCACCCCCCTGGCTCCGCCCCTGCGAGTCACACATGCCTTTTCTCATTCTAATGTTCCCCTCTTTGCCAATGTTATACGGAATCGTCTCGTAGACTATTAAGAAAGTAAAGATGCAGAAATACATTCATATGCAATGACACAGTAGGTTACAAACAAACTCACTCCCAGGCAGGGACGGACTGGCCATTGGGCAATGTGGGCAAATGCCACTGCGGCCGCCTGGTGATGCGGCCGCTCGGCCTGGTGATGCGGCCGCAAAAAAGCGGAGCGGAGCGGCTGTATCGACAGGCGGCCACGGCCGCAAATAACTAAATAAATGAATAAATAGGGTAAATAAATAAAGCAGAGCGGCTGCGTCAATAGGCGGTCGCAAATCAATAAATGAATAAATAAAAAAAAATTTAAAAAAAGCGGAGCTGCAGGTGGCCACCCCCCGTCGGAGAAAATTTCTACGGCCGAATTTTGTTCCAAATTGCTAGCGACGCCCATGGTTGCAGATGACCTGAGAAGACAATGTGGCCTCTCTGCCTCTCTGAGGCATTTCTCTTCTCAGTAAATAAACATTCATAGCTCATTCTGAGCTTAATGAGGAGCTCTGTCTCCTCATCAGACCCTGTAACAATATGGAAACAATCCCTAAACCACACAGAATGCACAGCAAAAGATGTAACATCAGATAGATATATAGGCTATTTAGATACACTATTTGTAGTTTATTTTTTATTTGTGACAAATAGTAGCCTATAATAGCAGTATATGCTTACACTTGCAAATTGTTGGCTCTGTCATTACGCAGCAAAAACGGGTAGTCCATTGCATAACTACCCTGGCCGATCCGTGCTGGCTCCTTTAATTAATTTTCTTCTTCTTTGGTGGTAAACAAACAGCAGACAACGGTGTTTGGGGCTCATTACTGCCACCGCATGGATGTATTTTTCGTGCACCACTGCAGTGCATTGTGGGTGATATACAGCTCTGGAGTGACCGTCGATGTTGACTCGATCCCTCAGCCCTCAAGGGTCGATCTCACCAAGGGCACTTCAGCTTTTTAGAGAAATGGAATAGCCCTTAAGATGGCGCTGGGGATTCTCCCGAGGGCAAGGGCTGAGGGCAAGTGAGCGAGGGCGACTCAACCGAGTATTGAAACGCAGCTTGTGTGTTGATAGCTGGTTTATCCTGGGTGCCATGATTGCTCTGCACCACAGGTGTGCAGT